TGACTATATATCAAGAACGTTAGCCGCTCTCTGGCCGCTCCCGCCGACCATTATATGAAGCGGTTACAACAGAGGCCCTCACCAGGCTGGCGGGACAGGGCGGGACAAAAGGAAGGGGCACTGAATGAATGAAAATGAAAGGTTTGGGTGTGAGATAGAACCATGGGAGCAGGCTGGAGGAACCAACCAACCAGAGCTTTTACTCCACCTGTCCCCTTATCAAGGATAAGCCGAATCAGTGGTTGGAGAACAAAGAGCATTCTTCACCGCATAGACTGACGCTGTAGCAGTTCGTAGAAATACAGCAAGCCGAGTCAAGACAGCCAGTGAATATGGCTTTAGTTTCAGTACTCACTTCGGCGCATTAAATTTCCTGTACAGTGCCTTGCTCAAGATATACTGCCAAGCACACCATATGTCTGCCTTTTGCCATGTTGCTTTCTGATTTGCGAAATGCGTCTTTCAAGGCAATGGACACGAGTTGTTGCTAGTGTCATTGGAGGAAGGGCTAATGGAATGTGGCAAAATGCCCCTCGCATCCTTTCAACAATGACATAGCCAATAACCGTCCACGCAGTAACCGCCCTAAGTCTGTCTGTAAGAGATTTTTCATAGAATCCTTGCATTTCTAGCGAGTGAAAGTGACTCGTCCAGCTTCAACGCGCGAGGTAGATGGTCAAAGAAGAAAAAAAGATTGGCGGAGAGGCGAAGCTGAAGTCGCAAGGCACGATCAAAAGATGAGACTTCTACATGTCCTTCCCATTTTGGCGATATAAACCGGAGGTTGAAGCTGCTTGGATCTTCTGTCTGCTTTTGAAGTGAGATGTTGCTCGGCGCACAATGGAAAGTGAATCGACCAAGCATAGAGCACCACCTCACTGTGTTGTTGTCACAACTGTGAAAATGGTCGTAATACACTAGAAATAGACGACCGGAGCAGCGAAGTTTGTGATATACTGAATTGCTTTGAAAGCACGTTCCACGTCCATAACTTGCCAAACATATCCTTAGACAACTAGTACGCCAGCGAGCATAAAGTTAGAACCACCCGCCGTTCGAAAGTAGATAATAAGGGTGCCACCCATAAATGGCTGAGGCGCCCCGACAGCCTGCCCCTGTTGCGCCCAACGCCCGAGTGCAATTGTTCCACTACTGGCTCCATCCATTCCAAATTTTCTTTCAGTGAAAGTGGGAGAAAAGAGAAAAGAACTCGTGCATACACGCCCTCTCTTCGCCTAGTGCTCGCATAAGTTTGGCACGGTAGAAGGCTTCATCTATGCGATTTTGAACGGATTTTCTTCTTCTGTGTTCACGAATGTGTTCATTATCATCTTCCCACCCGAGTGATCCACTAACATTCCCTTCTGGTAGCAGAACGTGCCTTCAAATGATGATAAATCCACTTATTTCCCACATTTGTGACCGAATTCTAATCAACAGCCTTAGACGCAATAATCATTTCAACTTTCAATACTTCTACGCAATATAATTGAAAAAATAAACGCACTTGTTTGGCGATCCATCATTGGTGCCCTTTTTCCCGGTTTGTTCGTTCTTCTTTTTGTTAAGATCCGCCAGTGTTATCTGATGAGTAAGAATTAAGAATCTGAAGTGATTCAGGAGAATTTTTCTCAAAACCCACCTTGCCCGCAGCAATGTCAGCCTCTAGTTGTTTTTGCTTATCCGCGAATCTTTTCCGACCCTGAATTAGGGAGAATCATCTTCCTGCTACGATAAAATAATATTTCACTCACTAAGAACGCAGTAAGACTTCGCGATTGGACCGTTCGGGCGATTTGCTCGCGCGACCACGACCGGAGGCGCCCGCCACCGCCAGGCAGTGCACCTATCACAACGCTAACATTCAAATTGAGACGCGTTCATACAGTTCAATTTGAATTGTGCCGCTGTGCCCCATTTGGCGGTGGAGCGCTCCCGTCGTAGTCGCGCGATCCAATCGAGCGATCTGATCGCCAGGTCTGAACACGCTCTTAAGTACACCAACCTCTAACATGCTTTGCAGTCTCTTTTCTTGTGTTTCACGATCCTTCGGTTCGCTTGAAAAATTGCTGTAAAAAGTAGGCTGAATATGCAGACTCTATGGAGACTATGACTGAATAAGAGGGAGACTATCACTTACTCCACAATCAGGATTGGATTCTCTTTCGCGGTAGGTGGGACACTGATATTCATGAGAGGAACTTCCTCGGTTTCCCAGCTAAGTGCTGAGACCTGAAATTTCACAGCACTACACCCAGATCACAAAAATCGGCGCTCCACAGGTCAGGCAGCATTCATACTTTGCGAGAAGTTGAGTGAAAAGAAGAGTCAACATTGGACTGTTTTCAGAGTGTGCGCAGAGAAAAGTTTAGGGGCAGCAAACAACTTGGATTGGAACTTGCTAGCGCGTGTAGTCCCGGATCGCCGATCCCCATTCTCCAAAGCCCGAGTCGACCGATTCCCATCTACTCCACACTTCTACAACGTCGGATCGTCGATTCTGTGCCTCGAGTCGCAAAGTATGAATGCGATCTCACTGTGAAGTAACGGAATTGTAACATGAGCTTCCGATATTTTAACATTCGTAGAAACCTACCGAGGTGGTTTTGTTTAATATCTCGTTCGTGAAGAAGAGATTGAATTGTGTCACATTGAATCTGATGGTTCCCATCCTCTTCTATCCTTACCATATAATCAAATACCTCTCTTGGTATACGAACTACTTTCCGCTGAAACCAAGTGCATTAAAAAAAAAACAAAACTGCAGGTAGTTAGTATTACGAACCTTGAAAACTCTCTCCTTCTTTTTGCGGTTTCCTTGCGTAGTTTGAGTAGTCCCTTCAGCGGGTTTCTCGCCTTCAGCAGTCTCTGCTGCTGGTTTCGTTTCTTCGCTCTTTTCCTCTATAATCACCACATCATCGTCTTTGGACTCGTCCTGAAAAACGAAAAGTTCCTAGAGGAATAGTCTCCGATTGTGTGGTGCGAATACTATTCAGAAGTTTTCCAGTAAATGCATTTGATTTCAAAATCAACACTACGCAGCGCATGAATTACAAGAGTATGCAATATGGGTAGCTCTCACGTTTGACTTCTGCGTTTCTGTAGCTTCCACGTTGGCGTCATCCTTCCTAAATTGATGTCTTCAATAAAGAGTTTTTTCAGGGAGTAAGGCATCATCTGGATTTCGCAATGACGCTGTACTATTGCAAGAACTCTCGCAAGCTATGGACGGGAACTAGCCATGGACGATATCCTTCGGTGCCGGCGACTGCTTAGGCTGCGTTCATGCTTTGCGTCAGCGTACGGCAGCACCTTGAGCGTTCCGGGCGTACGCCAGCGGCTAGAAGTATGTAAGATATCGATCTACCATACGACACCGTAAGCCAGGATTTACCAGAAGTGCAGAGTATGAGGAAGTAGGAGGGTAGCAGACTGTTGGCTGAGGCGTCGGAAATTACAGCGTGTGCCATTACACCGTACAACTGTTGAAGCACAGAATTATGGAATCCTGACGTCCGTGCGGCTGCACATGCCGCAATTTCACGACGCCTAATCCAGCAGTGTGCTACCCTCCTACTTTACCATACTCTCCACTCCTGGTGGACGCAGGCATAGGCTGGTGTACGTTTTATCGATACCGTACTTTGTTGGTCGCTGGCGCTGAAATACTCTCAAAACGCTCAAGACGCTGCCGCAAAGTATGAACACAGCCTTATGTGGCCTACCACACACTCTCAGATCGATCGGTGCCGGCCACTAGTGTGTCAGAAGAGTACAAAAGAGAAGGAGACCAGAGTGTGTGTCGAGGCAACACGTACTCTCCTATTCTTCCATACTCTGTCTCAAATGTCGCGACCAGCGCTGATCGATACTAATCTATGGCTGTGTCCCCGGCTGTGCGAACTGAAGCGCTGTTGCAATGGTAGCACATCGACGCGCGTCATTTCGAAGTCTGAACGCTGGCCACATGACAAAATCACTAACTTCTCTGTCGATTTCGTAGCGTCTCCAACATCATTTACAGCAGTTTTCTGAAATTCGATTCGCTGATGCTAAACGTCGCCTCGTTTGAAAAAGGTCTTAAAAATGCACACCTTTTCCTGAGTAACACCCCCACCTACAGTCTTTTGATTCTTCTTTTCAACAGTCATTGTCGCAGTTCAGTGGATCGCGGGCAAATTACCTGTAAAATATGAAAAATGTCTTAGATAATATAAGAGAGCAGCTAAGCGAGAGGTATCAAAACCAATGGCTTCAATATTAATACGTCAATTTGCGTTCCTAATTCCTGTTGCTGATAACGAACTGGTGCCAGATATCGACCTGCAGCCAGGGCACATATTGGTTGGGGATTTTACTCGACTGCGTACGACCCCCGCCACCTCCGGCCCTCTCTCCGTCCCCATCAAATCGAGCCGTCGAGCGGGGGGAGGGAGGAAGGAGGCGTCCGTGAAACAGGAAAGATCAACTATTAAAAAGAAATTTCTCTCAGCCCATGTACGACCCCCTTGTTGGGAATTCCCCAACAACGATGTGCCTTCCTGCAGCAGGATCGAGCGACTGAGCTTGAAGGCATGTTCCGCATTCAATAGTGAGTTGTGCGGCTCAAGTACTAATTACAAGATGATACAATGATTCACTAGTGAATGAGGGGGGAAAAGTCATCCGAAATGCCCTATATAGAACCCTAGGCCGAACACTCTGTAGGTACATAATGCGAAAAAAGTGGCCGTACGCGTTCTCGGATCGGCTCTCCAATTATCACCTTACTCTCACCATCCGGAGTGGAGAGAACCACTATTGGAGCTGTTTTTTTGATAACTGCTGTTTAACGCCGCAGTACGCGTTCCGAATGTTATCACAAGAATGCTGAGTTGTGGGCAAAAGTCGTGCCCCAGGCGGGAGTCGAACCCGCACCTCACGCTTTCCGGGCGAGTGCGCTATCCGTTACGCCAGGGCCGCTTTTACCCTCTCAGCTTAACGGCTTTTATGCCGTAGCCTATCAGCACTCACACGTTTAACTTGGTGAGCCGGTCAGCCGTAATCGATGGGATATCGGCATGAAACCGCGAGGCCGAAGGCTTTAGATGTTTTTGAAGCTGTTTTGTTATGATAACTGCTGTTTAACGCCGCAGTACGCGTTCCGAATGTTATCACAAGAATGCTGAGTTGTGGGCAAAAGTCGTGCCCCAGGCGGGAGTCGAACCCGCACCTCACGCTTTCCGGGCGAGTGCGCTATCCGTTACGCCACCAGGGCCGCTTTTACCCTCTCAGCTTAACGGCTTTTATGCCGTAGCCTATCAGCACTCACACGTTTAACTTGGTGAGCCGGTCAGCCGTAAAGATGCGCGGTTCAAGACTTCGCGATCGGCGCGATCGATCGCTTGATCTGCGCGATCGAATGCGCGATCGATCGCGGCGTCGATCGCGCCGAGATTGGATCGCGCGATTGGATCGCTGCGATTGGATCGTCAGCGATCGGATTCGCGCGATTCGCGATCGCGCGATCCGATCGCGCTACTGAGGGTGAAATTACTGCGGGAGGGGGTTATGTGCGTATATGTTTATTGATCCTGCTCTCTCTCTTTTCCTTCTTTCTCTCTTTGTGTACATAACTCCCTCCTAATTTTAAAGAAAGTTTCGAAATATCTTTGAGTTATTTATTATTTAATATGTAAAATAGTACTAAATATACAATATGCTAATTATTATACTGAATTTTGCATCTGAGTACGTTCAAGCGGAGTTGAACATCTTGTTCCAAAAGTAAGACACGCAGAACTTTTAACAGCGGGTGATGTTGTTTCTCTCCCTTCCCCCGATTTTGCCAGTCCTCCAGATATTCACTTTACTTTTGTCACATTGTGTTTGCTTTATTTGTTCTGCCGTCCTCCAGGTCTATACACAACCTTTCCTTTCGACGGTTTCTGCAAATCGTCAGTATTGCGAATATGAACATGGAATAAAAGACATCAAAAAAGGTCGAATTACTTTTATATCGTTTTTGGAACTGCCTATTGGAGGCAGGATACAGCATTGTGATGTGAGAAATGGTGATATTAGTACGCTCCCTTCCCAGAACTTTGTTGTTGTTGTTGTTTGTTGAGTTGAGTTGAACATGAACGAACATGACCCCCTCCCGCAGTAATTTCACCCTCAGTAGCGCGATCGAATCGCGCGATCCAATCGCGCGATCCGATCGCTGCGCGATCAGCGGCGATGATCGCGCGATCAGGATCCGATCGCGCGATCCAAAGCGACCATGCATCTCCGAGTCGATCGAGCCGTAATCGATGGGATATCGGCATGAAACCGCGAGGCCGAAGGCTTTAGATGTTTTTGAAGCTGTTTTGTTATGATAACTGCTGTTTAACGCCGCAGTACGCGTTCCGAATGTTATCACAAGAATGCTGAGTTGTGGGCAAAAGTCGTGCCCCAGGCGGGAGTCGAACCCGCACCTCACGCTTTCCGGGCGAGTGCGCTATCCGTTACGCCACCAGGGCCGCTTTTACCCTCACCAAGTTAAACGTGTGAGTGCTGATAGGCTACGGCATAAAGCCGTTAAGCTGAGAGGGTAAAAGCGGCCCTGGTGGCGTAACGGATAGCGCACTCGCCCGGAAAGCGTGAGGTGCGGGTTCGACTCCCGCCTGGGGCACGACTTTTGCCCACAACTCAGCATTCTTGTGATAACTATTGGAACCATTAACAGCTATGAGATATGAACGCTTCATCGTTAGTAGGTCGCACGTCCCTCACGTGAAAGTTGAGCTGTGGAATGGGTACATTTTATTTGCTTACAGCGAAATTCCCTTATTCAAAAAAGGTGTCTAGACACAGATAAACGCGAAACATACAGGTTATATTGGAATAAATGAAATGAAAAACACAAAAACGAAAGAGGTGTCTCTCTTACAACACGTGTGATGGATGGGACGGGGGGGGGGGGGGATTCAACAGGACAGGATGACCAGACGAAGATGTATACAACGATGGACGCATCTTCAGACGCTGACTTGAGATCGGAATTCACCATCTACTAAATGATTTGCTGGTCAAGCTGTGAGATCCCTCATACTTTGTAAGAACATCTTAAACCAGTGGAGCATAAATCTGCTCCTCACAAAAACCCTCCATGGCTTTGTTCAGAGAAATGTTCACCTGTTGGGAAATTCGATTGGAAGGTTCAAAGTCAGCGTTCAAAGATATCAGATGGTATGAATTTCATTTCTGATGGCTACATCGATCTACCATGGCCCACCTATGGCCGCGTTCATATATTACGTTCGTGAAGAAATGCAGAAAGAATGCAGAAGTGCGGAATCTGCAGAAATGCCGAAACTGCAGAAGTGCGGAATCTGCACTTTCCGCTCTTCTGCAGTTTCGGCATTTCTGCAGATTCCGCATTTCTTCACTTTCGGCATTTCTGCATTTCTTCAAATCGATACGTATGTAATGCTTTTCGTCATTTCTGCACTTTCCGCACTTCTGCAGTTTCGGCATTTCTTCAAGTCGATAAGTATCTATTGCTTTTCTGCAGATTCCGCACTTCTGCATTTTCCGCATTTCTTCACGAACGCTATGAACGCTGCCTATTGCAATTCTCGGTATGATTTCGATTATTACTACCTCAAAGACACAAAATTTTGTTGAAACTTTGCCCACAACAGTGATCCAGTGCTGTGATCAACATGAACATCGCATTCATTTTTAGCCCTGACGCTATTTGGCGTTAAGAGCGCGTTCAGACTTCGCGATCGCGCGATCCTGGATCGCGTGATTTGGATCGCGCGATCGCTGTGATCGCGCGATTTGGATCGCGCGATCGCGCTACTGTGGGTGAAATTACACCGGGAGGGGATCATGTTCGTTCATGTTTATTGTTCCTGTTCTTTTTTTCCTTTTCCTTCTTTCTTCCTTTGTGTACATAACGCCCTCCTAATTTTAAGGAACGTTTCGAAATATCTTTGAGTTATTTATTATTTCCTATGTAAAATAGTACTAAATATACAATATGCTAATTATTATACTGAATTTTGCATCTGAGTACGTTCAAGCGGAGTATTGAACATCTTGTTCCAAAAGTAAGACACGCAGAACTTTCAACAGCGGGTGATGTTGTTTCTCTCCCTTCCCCCGATTTTGCCAGTTCCTCCAGATATTCACTTTACTTTTGTCACATTGTTTGCTTTGTTTGTTCTGCCATCCTCCAGGTCTATACACAACCTTTCCTTTCGACGGTTTCTGCAACGTCAATATTGCGAATATGAACACGGAATAAAAGACATCAAAAAAGGTCGAACTACTTTTATATCGTTTTTGGAACTGCCTATTGGAGGCAGGATACAGCATCGTGATGTGAGAAATGGTGATATCAGTACGACTCCCCAGAACTTTGTTGTTGTTGTTTGTTGAGTTGAGTTGAACACGAACGAACATGACCCCTCCCGGTGTAATTTCACCCACAGTAGCGCGATCGCGCGATCCAGATCGCGCGATCACAGCGATCGCGCGATCCAAATCACGCGATCCGGATCGCGCGATCGCGAAGTCTGAACGCGCTCTAAGTTGCGCTTACCTTTCAATGAACTATGATAAACTTGCGCGGATATGATATTCATTTTCCATTTTATCTGCTACTGCAAAGAGCCTGGTTTGAGTAAGTTAAGCGCAGATTAGCATACTGTCCCACAGTAGCGCCGTCGACAAGAAAGTGTTATGTCCGTAATGAGGATGTCAAACAACCCCAGTATACAAGTTTCGATCGATTTTTGAGATCGAGGGTGTTTTGGCGCGGGCGCCAGGCAGTTTCAGGCCTAGCGAATGCGATCGTGCTCAGGAGCACGGCACGCCATCGTTGTGATCATCACAGTGGGAGGCCGTTGAGAGGAAGGGAGGGGTCGTACTTTGCGTCAAGAAAAAATTTTTTGATGTTGATTTTTCTTTGTTGCACGGACGCTGTAAGGAGGGGGGTCGTACTTGGTCATTTTTGGGAGGGGGGGGGGTTCGCATTTGTCAGTTCTAATTCTGACGACCTCCCCCCCCTCTCGACAGCAAAATTTTTGGCGAAAAGTGTGCTCATGCACACCCCCCCCGCCGCCAACGGTCTCGCCAACAAAAGGGGGTCAAATATTTAGTATGGAGTTAGGGCTGGGTCATATTTTCGGACAATGATTTACGAACGTGCCCTGCTTAAGAGGTGTCAAACTGTCCTTGGAAACAAATCTGCTGCCGTATAAAAAGCCGGTAAAAAACTGCCCCGCTTCCGAAAGATGTGGTGGTAACTGAACTGAATAGTGCCGAATTCTCTGTGAGCTATAGGAATTTCACTTTCCGAGACTACGAAAATCATCACTGACGTGAAGAGTACACCACTTAGCCCGACCTCTCGAGGATGTCATGCGTGGAATGGAATGATGGCACAGCATAAGAGTGAACATCAATAGATGGCAATTACATCATTATAAGCAAAGAAAAGCAAACATTGGGAAAGGAATACACTCCACAGCACTGATGACCGCCCTGATGGCGCTCCGGGTTTTCGCTGCCTCATTCTCTCAAAGTAGCGTGCTCTAACCGGGACAACGAATCGATATGACGAACGGCCTAGCGCCAAACAGAGCAGAAGGAAGCGTCGGCCTGGAGAATATCCGCAACATTGAGGGAGCAGCGATTAACACAGAGAACACCCGGCTTTGTGCCTACAGTCCTGTTCGCTACCCAGCGGCTGTGTTTGGCGCCCTGTTTTTTGGGACAAGACTGTATCTTGTCGTTCATTTGAATCATTTCCCACCAAACTGTTGTCGCTTACCCACTTCAAGAACAGTTGGAGATCGGGTTTGGCGCCGCGGCATACTCATTCCGCCTGACACGCCCATTCATCTCGGCGAACAAGACTGTACACATGTTGAGCATAGGTGTGCTCCTCACAAAACCCTCGATAAATCTTTCAGAGAATTGTTCAGCAGACACGGAATTTGAGTTGAAAGCGAAAACTTGGTGGTAAGAATTAAAGATACCGTCCAATGCATCAAATGGCACACATCTCATTTCTTATGGCCAATTTGATCTATAGAGTAATGCTGCGGCGGCGCGGTGCCAAACTCGTTCTCCACCAGTTGTTGAAGCGGGCAAGTGACAATACTGTATCATATCCTTCGTATTACTCGTTTTCTACCACTTTTTGTCGCGCGCGCTTCAACAAGAAGGCAGAGAACGGCTTTGACGGGGTGACACATTCATACTGCCTGAACGCAGCGAACTATACCGTTCTTAACCGGTTATTACACTAGAATTCTTGATGATCGCTACAACAACTTCGCGATTAGGATTTCTACAAGGAAGTCAGCACCGATGTGAAAAGAGCGCCAGAACGGGCTACACCATTTAGACGAACCCTTCAGTGCCGCTCTCGAGAACGTCATACGTGAGATGGAATGGGAAAACGTGAGAGTGAAGACCGACGGCCGCCGGTCACATCATTGCGGGCAATATCGCTCGAGTTTTTGTTGCCTCATTCTCTCACCACACAGCGTGTTTATCTACGCATACCCGGGTCGGACAATCGATAGCCGGATGGCCCAGCGCACAGAGCAGGGGTAAGCGAGCGGTTCGGGGGGCGTCCAAGAATAGCAAGTGTGTAGCGAATAATAAGAGGAACACCAAGCCATGTGCCCACCTTATCGAATCAGAGGTCCTTCCTGGAGCTGATCAGGTTACGGGGCTCTGTCAGCTGGATGCTCCCTCGCCGCAAGACTTCAGCGGCATTTACGTTTCAGCTTGACAGTGAGCGTTCGGAGGGAGGTGAGAAAGGGAAGAGAGTAGAGAGGAAAAGGTCGTAGTCGACAGAATACTAAGATGGGCCGGATCAGGGCTTTTGAGACACGTCATTAAGTGGGGCTCTTCTTTAGGTCTTTAGTGAGAGCCCTACCTTGCAATCTTTTCGACACAAAAGAAGGCACCGAATGTTACACCGACGAGAAGGTTTTATAGAGGAGAGGTTGATTAGTTCCATATTGCAGTCCTAAGAGCAGATTTTAAAGTCTTTAAAAATAAATAAGTTCAAATAAAATCTTTGAAACTGAGATCAATGAACTATGTTGTAAAATCTAATAAATGAGAATTATTGAGGGGGGGGGGGTCGAAAGCAAAGCCTAATGATGACCCTGATCTACCGAACAGTGTTCCAAAAGAATCGACTCGGAAAACAGCCGAAATATGGACATCTTCCTATGGCTTCTGTGGGGAAGCTATCCGCTAGGTACCTTTTGATGCACATTGTCAAAGAAATGAGTGGGAAATAATGAAAGAGGAAGATGAACAGATCCAAAGCGAAAGTGGCGGACAGTGGGAGCGGCGACGACGTAGGACGCCGAAATGCGCGTCGATGCTCGGACGCGAGTACGTAGAGTTTTACGGTCTTTCCGCATAAATACCGTAATGCCAGGTTGGAAATCCTTTTGGCATGATTTCCACGTTTTTCAAGCAGGCAACTACATGCTTGGAGATTCACGAAGGGTTGTCATCGAAATGTTTACTAGTCAGTTACTCTTTGATGGCTATCGGAGTTAGAGGGGATCTCCTTCAGTACGAGAAGTTTGTGGAAATCCCTCATCGCCACGTGTGGGCGTGTTTCAAAGCCTTTTTAGCTCATAAGTTATGTTACGATCCTATCTGATTTCCCTTGGAACTCCCATTCATAGTCAACTTTACTTCGTTTCTCTACTACTTTTTACGTCAGCAATAGCCCTGTAAACCAACTCTTTCTTTCCTTAGTAATTAAATTTGCTTAGTTGGCACGTTTTGCTGCACATTGAAAGTTTTTCCAGTTATGGATGATGACAATCTGTTTGGTGGAGATTTAAGCGAGAGCAGCAGTGATGAGGAACAGAGTAACCACTCCTCCAAGGTCGTGCAAGAAACAGCTGTGGTCAAAGAGGAGAAGTAGGTCGTTACTGATCTAACTTTTAATAATTTGGAAAATCTAACAGTGACTTCCTAGACCTGATACTCGTAAACCAAGAGTATCCTTCACATTGGCTGATGACGAAGAGTCAAACGATGGTGTCTCAATTTTCAACGGATTAGGTGCTCCCGGCGAAGCTCACGAAATGGGCAATAAAACGAATAAAAGAAAGGTATGTTCGGGGTTCTCTTCGCTTCAGAGTCCTCTATCTAATATGTCCTCTCTTCTACAGGCGACTTCACCACCTGGATCGAGCTCAGACGTCAAACGTGTGAAATCTGAAGGTCATTTGGCTGAGTCAACTTCCACAGCTGATTTTCAAGAAGCGTTGAATCTGCTTGATGATCCTACTGCAGGTAGAATAATCTTTTCTCTTCTCAGTCTTGCACATTCCAGGCGGCTCACGTGCCTTGCGAAAGTGCAGAAACCGCTGTTTGGGAATCGGCGATTCGATTCAGTCTCGTCTAATCTTTTGTCGGTTTTGGGTAGGGAGAGGAAGAACTCATGAAGGGCTTCTTGTACAGCGCTGCTGCTAAGTGAAGGAGTTGGGAATTTAGCCTCATTTCCTTCACGAGGCAACATTTCGGACAGGGACCACTTTTGCACATTGAACCTGGGGTGGGAAGAAGCACTTGGGTCTTTGGACGTAATTCTCTGATGTAGTGCTCTACGGTGTAGTTTTCGCGCTACACACATTCTAGTTTTCCGCACAGATTTCTTTGAAGCCCCCCCTTATGCGAACGCTTACTATGGTATAAGGAAACCCCAAGTGAGTACTTATGAGATCCCATGCGAAACTAAGCTAAGCTGCTTCTTTGTTTTTTTCTCCATCTTGGGGTTGACGCATTCAGCACTTCTTAACTGTTCCTGTTACTTTACTGTTTCCTTTTTTTCATGTATTCCTTGACCGACTATGTCCGACCTTGTCTACTGATTCCTTCTGAAACGGCTTCTCGCCACTCTTCCATGTAAGCATCTTCAGAGGACGAGTAGGCTATCGTTCTTAGAGAAGGGATAGACAGTCACTTTCTTACAGTGAAACAATAGATAATTCAGTTATTTTGAGATGTTTTCACCGCTCCTACTGCTCCCGCTCCAAAGAAGATCATCACAGGACAAACAAAACCCTGTCGTGTGAGGTAGTTCCTTCTCATTTATTTGTGTCTGTTTTGATTAACTGACGTTTTAGTTGTAGTGCGGTAATGGCCGCAAATAAAATAAATAAATAAATAAATCCTTTTTTGTCCTATAATCAGGATTTATGATCATGACGATCTTGCCATTACGGAATTCTATTCCATCCTAGTGCCTGCACCAGAAAGTTATTCGGCCTTTTTGTCGTTGAGGGGCCACGAAGCGAGATTGGCCGTACAGGGTTTCGTCTGCGCTCTTCGAAGGGAGGCCCGTGGAAGAAGGGTCCTTTTTCGTCCATGTAAAGCTAGTGACGTATTGTATGTACTTTGGTGTTTCACCTTCAGAAAGAGAAAGACGTGCGATTCGCTCCAGATGTGCAACAGGCCGAAAAACCGTCCACTAGCCAGCAGAAAGCGCCTACTGCCAGTTCGTCAAGAGCAGAGCAGGAAGAGGTAAAGGAGGAGCCGTAGAAACGTGAACCTTTTCATTGCTTTTTTTGGGTCAAGTGTTGCAAGAGGGCGAAGCAACTTCGATAGCACATATGAATTTTTCATTGTATGCGCTTGCCACACTTAACATATGGGGTAACTACACTATTCCAGGAAGACATTCTTCCAATCAAACCACTCAATGAAGAGGACGAGCTGTTACGACTCAAAATGCAGGTATGTCGTTTTAATTATAGAAAACGGACCTGCTTCGATGAGTTCGTATAAAAATGACTCATTCAGATTCTCATCTCTAATTTTTTCTCAAGAACAGCTCAATAGATACGAGATGTATAGAAGGTAAGGTCATAAACCTTCTTGCTTTGAACATCTCACTCCTGAACTTCGTCGAAAACTCCGTTTTGCTTCTGCTAACTCGTTTGGATGCCTTATCTCTGGCGAGATCTACTCTACGTCGTGGGCGACATTCATTTGCATCTTTAAAGCTGCCGCTTTTAGATCTTCTTTCCCGAAATCGACTATACGTCGGCTTATACATCAATTTACTGGCGCTAATGTTGGGCAGAACGTCGTCATTGCTGTTGCAGGACTTGCAAAGGTACTGTTATGTTTATAAGTCGGCGCTGCCTGTTTCGGACCTTGGAATGGCTTTTCTGTGCATTTCGAAATGACAAATTTAGGATTGATTTTCATGTACTTTAAGGTTTTCGCTTGTGAACTGGTCGAGGAGGCGTTGGATATTCAAGCGAAGATGGGTGGGCCGGAAGAACCACTGAAACCAAACCATCTCCGTCTCGCCTATTATTCCCTCGAGCGTCAAGGGAAATATTTCCACAGAATAGTCACCGGCGGAATCTTTCATGTGATTGTTATTTACTTTTTGGAACACTGCCAATTTTCTATCAATTTTGAGTTCCTTTAGGATGACTATTGTCTGGTTCGTTGCGAATACTGGGACGTGCCAAGGGCGGGGGCGGGTTTGGCGCTGTGCTTGCTCACTTTCCACCAGGTGTTGTGCTAACATGCTTCAGCAACTGACTTCACAGGAAACGAGCTGACGCTGCGCCATACCCAACCTCCCCCCCCCCTCCTACACAGCCCTGCATTCACAACGAACAAACCATATGAGAATTCAGGCTTTCAGTCTGAAGAAAGGGGTTAACTCGCACTTATTGCCCAGTCATCTGGTTCCCTCCACTTATTGCCCAGTCATCTTGTTCCTTTTTGTTTGTTGAACTTACTTAGATAGAGGTATCGTTGGCTCCCTTCAATTTTGAATTACTCTAGCCTGTATTCTTTCATTGTACATATAATCATGCACTTAATAAATTTTGAACTAAGGCTACTTTCTTTCTTATCAAGGCGTTATTGGCGCTATAGTATGTCTTTATCTCCTCTCTCTTTTATGGTTTCTTATATTTGTTGTAATTGAAATGAGCGCAGGAGTAGTATAGCTCCGTTACCTGTTAAAAATTTTGTAGTTACATGTGGCATAACACGTTAATGACGTCACATGAGAGAAACTCTATGATGTAGTCGTAAATGACATGTTAAGAAGTGTCATCAGAGTGTCATCTGACGTCACCAACTGGTTCTATTTCTCTTAACAAGTAGCACCAACGCCTGGAAATTGAGTTTTTGTTTATTATAGATGAATGGAACGCCGTACACTGGCGTACCGACTATACCACCTCCTCAATTCAGTACGTTTGCCACCACAATTGATCCTCCTCGACCCTTGCCAGACTTCGTATCAAAGGCTCCATTACATCCTACGACAACAGCGGCTCAACAAGTACGTTTGAATAGAGCGGCTCTTCTTTTGACCGCCTCGCGCTCAACCAACCCATAGGATTCCTTACTTCCAAAGCAGTCCAGTACGCAATCAGCAAAGAGATCCCATCGTTCTGCATTGGATTACCTGGGCAAGAAAAGAATCTATGGACTGGTGAGCGCGGAAGTGTTTTTCGACGTTTTTTTGTTTCGTATATAAACGCATCGGTTTTGTTTTCAGCAGGTGTATTCACCAACAGCAGCTCCGTACCCTGCCGTACAGGCTCATCTGGATTCGCCTGCTACTTCGCCAAACCCTGAAGGCAGTAAGCCTAGCACAGTTCAAGAGTCATTTGCGATTACACCAAATGTCACGAATGAGACAAAGGTAGGTTTAATTTTTGAAAATGTGCTTCATTTTTACGTTATTCAGCAGCGTCGCTATGGTTTGCGGCTGGGCTGGCCGCTGTTCCTTTTTACTTAAAACTCAAATATTTTTTCAACCGCGTCCGGTAGTAGGCGGTGTAGCAGGTGAGAAAGGGCATATCTGCACAACGAATTCTCATGAGTCACAAAAATTTTACGGACGGACCTTCTGTGCTTATCTTTCGATTTTCTTTTGGGTTTTTCGTGATTTGAAAAGTCTTAAATCCTGTGCACCGAATGCCCAATCTTCCTGGAAGGACGCCTGATTGTACGGATTGTACGCTGAAGTTCTAATCGGTTTCTTCACATTCTTCGGCGCAGTTCGGTTTGAGAGGGGAGGAGACATTTCGACATTTTGCCCGGCTAACCTTTCCCAGCCGCCAAGTCGGCCACCATTTAGAGACCTGTGGAGTCTTGCAAAGCTATGAAGTGATGCCAGTCAAAATTTGTAGAGACTACTTGTCAACTCTGTTAAAAGATACCAATCAGCTCTTGTAAACAATGGAGACGACGACGAGAGAAGGGCAATAATGCCCGTCCCCGCCGCCTCCCCAGCCGACTGCGCCTATAATTAAAGTTCTAGGAACCGCAAAAATCGGCAGAACGCCACAAAAAACATCACAAGTTAACGCGCTGGCTCCATATCGGTCGTCAAAGTGCTAATGACGCTAAAAGAAGCTTTCAAAGGTAGGCCATGATCAAAAGTTCTTGTAATACGGCTAGGCAGCGTTCCACAAGTAGAACAATTTCAGGTAATTATTGTAGGCGATGCAGGTGTTGGCAAGACATGCCTGTCATTTCGGTTCTGTTGTGGTAGATTTCCCGAGCATACCGAGGCCACCATAGGTGTCGATTTCCGGGAAAGAAGTTGTGTAATAGAGAGAGAGAGACTGCTCCAAGGTAAGGTCTCGAGTAGCAAAGGTGCAGGGCTGCTATAATTGTTAGAGGCCGCCCGGCGGTGAAATCCGTTCTCCACGGTCCTGAGCGAGGCTTAGGACTGACTCTAGTCGCCTGCGCTCCACTAGTGCTGAATATTAGGTGTGAAGAAATCGCCACGTTGCCCAGCTCTTATCAGTTACAGTGGCGCCAAGTGAGATCCTTGTTTGGTCTTGCTAGAAGCTTACGTAGGTTGTTAAAGGTACAATTATGGGACACCAGCTGGTCAGGAACGATATAGGCATTCAATAGTGGCCCATTACTACCGCAATGTCAATGGCCGTTGTGTTTGTTTACGATGTGACAAGGTAAGTACCCAGGTACCCCGGTTTAGTCTCCGAGGCTTGCCTTTTACGAGCAGCAGAAAGATTTGGCTTTTCTATAGTTTTTTTACTGGAGATTTATTTTGTCTAGCCCCTCATCCTTTGCCTCGCTTCGCTCCTGGATTAACGAGTGTGAGAAGAACGGGCTCACAGCGGACTGTGATGTGCCACGAATTCTTATTGGGAACAAATGTGACCTGAAGTCATTAGGAGCCTCGCGTGTCGATACCGATGCTGCTCAGGTGAGATTAAAAACCTATCAAATCGCGTTAAAACAAATACTAACTTAGAAACCGTATCAATAATTTTTTTTGCGTTGTTTGGCTTAGGGGGACATCATTGCACTTTCGCTAGTTTCTTTTGCCAGTTCCTGTTGAATTACACGCCTCACTTGTGAACTCTTGTCAAGTATAAACAAAGCTCATGTCCCCACCTGCATTGGTAGTGAGCTATGGAAACCAGCAGAATGCCTCTACCTAGCCGAACTGTGCCTAATACTTTTTTTGTCTATCCTTCTGCGAAACAAATGAAAGTATTTGAACAGCGTTCATACTTGGCGAATGGTGTCTGTTGATTCAGTCCATTCATTTCTTTGTCGCAGTCTCCTAAACTGCGGACTCTGGATCGCGTATTCGCCAGATTCGCAAAGTACCAACCTTGATGATTTTATCTTTTTCCTCAACGTTTAGTTGTACTATTTTTGTGACATTTCACAGTACATCTCTAGTGCTCTAGGTGTTCGCTGACCGCAACAATATGGCGCTGTTCGAGACGTCAGCTAAGGCAGATTCGGAAGCGGACCATGTTGAGTCGATATTCCTGACACTGCTTCATAAGCTGCAGCAAAGCAAACCCATGCATGTGCAGAGTGAGGGAGAACGGCAAGCAAAGGTGGGTGAGAGTCTTGGCACAGAAATTTTTTGTAGTGAACTAATTGAGTTGGATTTTAAGTGTGAAGCTTTAAAGCTCTAGTACCCTAGTAGCCAAAAACGCCTCGAAGGGCTTGAATGAAAGCCGCTTCTTTCTGAGCACTGTACGAGTTTGTCGGCGACCGGACGAGTTTTTCAACACCACAAACCAAGCCGTGGTGTTTGTCGTGCGGTTTCCGAGCATTTGTAAATATAAGTGTGAACTGATATGAGAAAGAGCAAATGTTTCAATGAATGATCAAATTACTAATTACAAATGGTCGAAAACCGCACGATTAGGACCAAGACACACAGCTTTGAAAAACTCGTCCGGTCGCCGACAAACTCGTACAGTGCTCAGAAAGAAGCGGCTCTCATTCAAGCCCTTCGAGGCGTTTTTGGCTACTAGGGTACTAGAGCTTTAAAGCTTCACACTTAAAATCCAACTCAATTAGTTCACTACAAAAAATTCTGTGCCAAGACTCTCACCCACCTTTGCTTGCCGTTCTCCCTCACTCTGCACATGCATGGGTTTGCTTTGCTGCAGCTTATGAAGCAGTGTCAGGAATATCGACTCAACATGGTCCGCTTCCGAATCTGCCTTAGCTGACGTTCTCGAAAGCGCCATATTGTTGCGAGTCAGCGAACACTAGCTAGAGATGTACTGTGAATGTACTAAAAATAGTAGCTCACCTAAAATTGAGGAAAAAGATAAATCATCAGGTTGGTACTAATTGGCGAATCTGGCGATACCGATCCAGAGCGCAGTTCAGGAGATGCGACAAAGAAATGATGGGAAATACGAATCAACAGACACATTCGCCAAAGTATGAAACGCTGTTCAATACTTTCATTTGTTTCGCAGAAGGATAAGCAAAAAAACGTAATTTTTTTTTTTTTTTTTTTTTTTTAGGCACAGTTCGGCTAGGTAGAGGGCATCTGCTGAATTCCATAGCTCACAACCAATGAGCAGGTGGGACATGCGATGCTTTGTTTATAACTGACAAGAGTTACAGTACCAGGTGAGGCGTGTAATTCAACAGGAATTGGCAAAAGAAACTAGCGAAAGTGCAATGATTCCCCCTAAGCCAAACAACGCAAAAAAAATATTGATAGGGTTTCTAAGTTAGTATTTGTTTTAACGCGATTTGATAGGTTTTAATCTCACCTGAGCAGCATCGGTATCGACACGCGAGGCTCCTAATGACTTCAGGTCACATTTGTTCCCAATAAGAATTCGTGGCACATCACAGTCCGCTGTGAGCCCGTTCTTCTCACACTCGTTAATCCAGGAGCGAAGCGAGGCAAAGGATGAGGGGCTGAAACTAAATAAATCTCCAGTAGTAAAAAGTTAGAAACGAAATATTTCCGCGCTCGTAAAAAGCCTTCGGAGACTAACCAGGGTACGCTGTGTAGCTTACCATTGTCACATTCGTAAACACAACACCACACGGCATTGACATGCGATAGTAATGGGCACTATTGAAGTGGCGCTATATCGTTCGGTGACGAAGCTGTGTCCGAATAATTGTGGCCTTAAACACCTACCGTAAGCTTCTAGGCAAGACGAAAAAAGGATCTCACTTGCGCCCTGTAAACTGATAAGAGCTGGGCAACGTGGCGATTTCTTAACACCTAATATTCAGCACTAGTGGAGCGCAGGCGACTAGAGTCAGTCCTAAGCCTCGCTCAGGACCGTGGAGAACGGATTTCACCGCCGGGCGGCCTCTATCAATTATAGCAGCCCTGCAACTTTGCATACTCGAAGACCTACCTTGAGCATTCTCTCTCTATTACACAACTTCTTTCCCGGAAATCGACACCTATGGTGGCCTCGGTATGCTCGGGAAATCTACCACAACAGAACCGAAATGACAGGCATGTCTTGCCAACACCTGCATCGCCTACAATAATTACCTGAAATTGTTTTATTTGTGGAATGCTGCTTAGCCGTATAAGAACTTTTGAACAACATGGCTACCTTGAAAGTTCTTTTAGCGTCATAGCACTTTGACGATGTTGGAGCCAGTGGTAACTTGTGATGTTTCTTGTGGTGCGTCTCTGCCGGTTTTTGTGGTTCCTAGAACTTTAATATAGGGCGCAGTCCGGCTGGGAGGGGAGGGGAGGGGGATTTTGCTTCTCTCGTCGTCGTCTCCATTGTATACAAGAGTTGATTGGTATCTTTTAACAGAGTTGAAAGTAGTCTCTACAAATTTTGACTGGCATCACTTCATAGCTTTGCAAGACTTCACAGGTCTCTAAATGATGGCTCGACTTGGCGCTGGGAAGTAGCAAAATGTCGAAAATGTCCCCCCCCTCTCAAACCGAACTGCGCCGAATAATGTGAAGAAACCGATTAGAACTTTTAGCGTACAATCCGTACAATCAGGCGTCCTTCCAGGAAGATTGGGCATTCGGTTGCACAGGATTTAAGACTTTTCAAATCACGAAAAACCCAAAAGAAATCGAAAAAACAGCACTAGAAGATCCGTAAAATTTTGTGGCTTCAGTGAATCGTTGTGGCATATAATGGCCTTTCTCACTGAACCAGGGGCGCGCCTTACTCAGCGGAACGGGTGAAAAATTTTGAGTTTCAAGGTAAAAGAACAGGTGCGCCCAGCCCACCGCAAACCATAGCGACGCTGCTGAATAACGTAAAAATGAAGCACATTTTCAAAAATTAAACCTACCTTTGTCTCATTCGTAACATTTGGTGTAATCGCAAATGACTCTTGAACTGTGCTAGGCTTATTGCCTTCAGGGTTTGGCGAAGGAGCAGGCGAATCCAGATGAGCCTGTACGGCAGGGTACGGAGCTGCTGTTGGTGAATACACCTGCTGAAAACAAAACCGATGGTATAGTATACGAAAAAAAAACTCGAAAACACTCCGCGCTCAACCAGTCCATGATTCTTTTCTGCCCAGTGTCATCGCAATGCAGAAACTGGGACTCATCTTTGCGATTGCGTACGAACTGCTTGGAAGTAAGAATCGCATATGGGTTGGTTGAGCGCGAGGCGGCCAAAAGAAGAGCTGCTCTATTCAAACGTACTTGTTGAGCCGCTGTTGTCGTAGGATGTAATGGAGCCTTTGATACGAAGTCTGGCAAGGGTCGAGGAGGATCAATTGTGGTGGCAAACGTACTGAATTGAGGAGGTGGTATAGTCGGTACGCCAGTGTACGGCGTTCCATTCATCTATAATAAACAAAAACTCAATTTCCAGGCGTTGGTGCTACTTGTTAAGAGAAATAGAACCAGTTGGTGACGTCAGATGACACTCTGATGACATCTTAACACGTCATTTACGACTACATCATAGAGTTTCTCTCATGTGACGTCATTAACGTGTTATGCCGACATGTAACTACAAAATTTTTAACAGGTAACGGCTATACTACTCCTGCGCTCATTTCAATTACAACAAATATAAGAAACCATAAAAGAGAGAGGAGATAAAGACATACTATAGCGCCAATAACGCCTTGATAAGAAAGAAAGTCAGCTTAGTTCAAAATTTATTAAGTGCGTGATTATATGTACAATGAAATAATACAGGCTAGAGTAATTCAAAATTGAAGGGAGCCAACGATACCTCTATCTAAGTAAGTTCAACAAAAAAAAAGACAGATGACTGAGGCTATAAGTGGAGGTACCATACTGATCGTATCCCAGACTGTAAGCCTGAATTCTCATATGGTTTGTTCGTTGTGAATGCAGGGCTGTGGTCAGGGGGGGGGAGGTTGGGTATGGCGCAGCGTCAGCTCGTTTCCTGTGAAGTCAGTTGCTGAAGCATGTTAGCACAACACTTGGTGGAAAGTGAGCTGGCGCGAAAAGCGACAGCCGCACAAACCGCCCCCGCTCTTGGCACGGGGGGGGGGGGGGGGGTTTTCCCCAGTATTCGCAACGAACCAGACAATAAGTCATCCTAAAGGAACTCAAAATTGATAGAAAATTGGCAGTGTTCCAAAAAGTAAATAACAATCATGAAAGGATTCCGCCGGTGACTATTCTGAGAATATATCTCCTTGACGCTGCGAGAATAATAGGCGAGACGGAGATGGTTTGGTTTCAGTGGTTCTTCCGGCCCACCCATCTTCGCTTGAATATCCAACGCCTCCTCGACCAGTTCACAAGCGAAAACCTAATTACAAAATCGACTCCTACATTTGTCATTTCGAATGCACAGAAAGCCATTTCAAGGTCGCGACACATGTAGCGCTACTATGATAACATAACAGCCCTTTGCAGTCCTGCAACCAATGAGCACGTTCTGCCAAAATTAGCGCCAGTAAATTGATGTATAAGTCGACGTATAGTCGATTTCGGGAAAGAAGATCTAAAAGCGGCAGCTTTAAAGATGCAAATGAATGTCGCCCACGACGTAGAGTAGATCTCGCCAGAGATAAGGCATCCAAACGAGTTAGCAGAAGGAAAACGGAGTTTTCGACGAAATGAAAAGTATCTAAGGAGTGAGTGTTCAAAGCAAAAAGGTTTATGACCTTACCTTCTATACATCTCGTATCTATTGAGTTGTTCTTGAGAAAAATTAGAGATGAGAATCTGAATGAGCCATTTTTATACGAACATCAGCAGGTGCCGTTTCTAAATTAAAAAGACATACCTGGCATTTGATGAAAGCTCGTAAGTCCTCTTCATTGAGTGGTTTGATTGGAAGAATGTCTTCCTGGAATAGTGTAGTTACCCCATATGTTAAGTGTGGCAAGCGCATACAATGAAAAATTCATATGTGCTATCGAAGTTGCTTCGCCCTCTTGCAACACTTGACCCAAAAAAAGCAATGAAAAGGTTCACGTTTACGGTCCTCCTTACCTCTTCCTGCTCTGCTCTTGACGAACTGGCAGTAGGCGCTTTCTGCTGGCTAGTGGACGGTTTTTCGGCCTGTTGCACATCTGGAGCGAATCGCACGTCTTTCTCTTTCTGAAGGTGAAACCATAAAGTACATACAATACGTCACTAGCTTTACATGGACGAAAAAGGACCCTTCTTCCACGGGCCTCCCTTCGAAGAGCGCAGACGAAACCCTGTACGGCCAATCTCGCTTCGTGGCCCCTCAACTACAAAAAGGCCGAATAACTTTCCAGTGAGGCACAGGTGGAATAGAATCGGTAAATGGAGAATCGTCATGATCATAAAATCCTGATTATAGGACAAAAAAGATGATTTTATTGATTACGATAACTAGTCGAAAAAGAATAGATAGGACACTTCACAACGAGCAGGTTTTGTTTTGTCTTTGATGATCTTCTTGAGCGGGAGCCAGTAGGAGCGTGAAAACATCTCAAATAACTGAATTTTATTGTGTTTCACTGTGTAAGAAAGTGACTGTCTATCCCTTCTCTAAGAACGATAGCCTACTCGTCCTCTGAAGATGCTTACATGGAAGAGTGGCGAGAAGCCGTTTCAGAAGGAATCAGTAGACAAGGTCGGACATAGTCGGTCAAGGAATACATGAACAAAAGGAAACAGTAAAGTAACAGGAACAGTTAAGAAGCTGAATGCGTCCAAAGCCCCAAGAATGGAGAAAAGAACAAGAAGCAGCTTAGCTTAGTTTCGCATGGGATCTCATAAGTACTCACTTGGGGTTTCCTTATACCATAGTAAGCGTTCGCATAAGGGGGGGGGCTTCAAAAGAAGAATCTGTGCGGAAAAGTAGATGTGTGTAGCGCGAAACTACACCTGAGCACTACATCAGAGAATTACGTCCAAAGACCCAAGTGCTTCTTCCCACCCCAGGTTCAATGTGCAAAAGTGGTCCCTGTCCGAAATGTTGCCTCGTGAAGGAAATGAGGCTAAATTCCCAACTCCTTTCACTTGGCAGCAGCGCTGTAACAAGAAGCCTTCATGATTCTCCTCCTACCCAAAACCGACAAAAGATTAGACGAGACTGAATCGAATCGCCGATTCCCAAACAGCGGTTTCTGCACTTTTGCAAGGCACGTGAGCCGCCTGGAATGTGCAAGACTGAGAAAAAGATATTCTACCTGCAGTAGGATCATCAAGCAGATTCAACGCTTCTTGAAAATCAGCTGTGGAAGTTGACTCAGCCAAATGACCTTCAGATTTCACACGTTTGACGTCTGAGCTCGATCCAGGTGGTGAATGAAGTCGCCTGTAGAAGAGAGGACATATTAGATAGAGGACCTGAAGCGAAGAGAACCCCGAACATACCTTTCTTTTATTCGTTTTATTGCCCATTTCGTGAGCTTCGCCGGGAGCACCTAATCCGTTGAAAATTGAGACACCATCGTTTGACTCTTCGTCATCAGCCAATGTGAAGGATACTCTTGGTTTACGAGTATCAGGTCTAGGAAGTCACTGTTAGATTTTCCAAATTATTAAAAGTTAGATCAGTAACGACCTACTTCTCCTCTTTGACCACAGCTGTTTCTTGGCACACCTGGAGAGTGGTTACTCTGTTCCTCATCACTGCTGCTCTCGCTTAAATCTCCACCAAACAGATTGTCATCATCCATAACTGGAAAAACTTTCAATGTGCAGCAAAACGTGCCAACTAAGCAAATTTAATTACTAAGGAAAGAAAGAGTTGGTTTACAGGGCTATTGCTGACGTTAAAAGTAGTAGAGAAACGAAGTAAAGTTGACTATGAATGGGAGTTCCAAGGGAAATCAGATAGGATCGTAACATAACTTATGAGCTAAAAAGGCTTTGAAACACGCCCACACGTGGCGATGAGGGATTTCCACAAACTTCTCGTACTGAAGGAGATCCCCTCTAACTCCGATAGCCATCAAAGAGTAACTGACTAGTAAACATTTCGATGACAACCCTTCGTGAATCTCCAAGCATGTAGTTGCCTGCTTGAAAAACGTGGAAATCATGCCAAAAGGATTTCCAACCTGGCATTACGGTATTTATGCGGAAAGACCGTAAAACTCTACGTACTCGCGTCCGAGCATCGACGCGCATTTCGGCGTCCTACGTCGTCGCGCTCCCACTGTCCGCCACTTTCGCTTTGGATCTGTTCATCTCCTCTTTCATTATTTCCCACTCATTTCTTTGACAATGTGCATCAAAAGGGTACCTAGCGGATAGCTTCCCCACAGAAGCCATAGGAAGATGTCCATATTTCGGCTGTTTTCCGAGTCGATTCTTTTGGAACACTGTTCGGTAGATCAGGGTCATCATTAGGCTTGCTGTTTGACCCTCCGTCCTCATAATTCTCATTTATTAGACTTTACAACATAGTTCATTGATCTCAGTTTCAAAGATTTTATTTGAACTTATTTATTTTTAAAGACTTTAAAATCTGCTCTTAGGACTGCAATATGGAACTAATCAACCTCTCCTCTATAAAACCTTCTCGTCGGTGTAACATTCGGTGCCTTCTTTTGTGTCGAAAAGATTGCAAGGTAGGGCTCTCACTAAAGACCTAAAGAAGAGCCCCACTTAATGACGTGTCTCAAAAGGCCTTGATGCCGCCCATCAAGTCTTCTGTCGACTACGACCTTTTCCTCTCTACTCTCTTCCCTTTCTCACCTCCCTCCGAACGCTCACTGTCAAGCTGAAACGTAAATGCCGCTGAAGTCTTGCGGCGAGGGAGCATCCAGCTGACAGAGCCCCGTAACCTGATCAGCTCCAGGAAGGACCTCTGATTCGATAAGGTGGGCACATGGCTTGGTGTTCCTCTTATTATTCGCTACACACTTGCTATCTTGGACGCCCGCCCCCAATCCGCTCGCTTACCCCTGCTCTGTGCGCTGGGCCATCCGGCTATCGATTGTCCGACCCGGGTATGCGTAGATAAACACGCTGTGTGGTGAGAGAATGAGGCAACAAAAACTCGAGCGATATTTGCCCGAGAGTCGGCCAAACGTACGCTCTTATCACTCTCACGTTGTTTCCCATCCATCTCACGTATGACGTTCTCGAGAGCGGCACTGAAGGGTTCGTCTAAATGGTGTAGCCCGTTCTGGCGCTCTTTTCACATCGGTGCTGACTTCCTTGTAGAAATCCTAATCGCGAAGTTGTTGTAGCGATCATCAAGAATTCTAGTGTAATAACCGGTTAAGAACGGTATAGTTCGCTGCGTTCAGGCAGTATGAATGTCTCACCCCGTCAAAGCCGTTCCCTTCCTTC